GGCTTGTTGATGGCCAACTTCTCCATGTGTCTCTTCACATTGTCTTCCCTCTGTGCATGTGTGTGTCCAAATTTCCTCTTGTTATAAGAACACCAGTCGTGTTGGATTTGAGCCTACCCCTTACTTAACTTGATCACATCTATAAAAACCCTAACCCCAAATAAGATCACATTCTGAGGTGCTGGGCTTCAGGACTCCCAACATACCTCTTTTTGAGGACACAAGTTAACCCATAACAGAAACAAAGCCTCAGAGAGGTTAACTAACTTGCCCAAACTCATACAGCAAGTTAGTATTCCAGCAAAGATTTAAAACCCAGTGTGCACTGCCTTCCATGTGCAGCCACAAGACATAGAAGAAAAAAATCATGGCTTATGTATTTTTGCCTTCCAAGCTGAGTTTCTTAATACCTTATGGTTTCTGGAAAATGTTTTCCATATTTTTGGGAAAAAGAAAGATTTTTTTAAAAATATGTCTTTATTGATTTCAGAGAGAGGGAGAGAGATTGAAACATCAATGATAAGAGTCATTGATCTGCTGCCTCCTGCATGCCCCCTACTGGGGATCAAGCCCCCAACCAGGACATGTGCCCTGACCAGGAATCCAACGGCAATCTCCTGGATCCTAGGTTGATGCTCAAATGCTGAGCCACGCCGGCCAGGCAAGAGATTTTTCTGTTATCCACCAATCTGTCTTCAGCCCTCCCCTCATCACACACATCTGACAAGTGCTTCTTGAAGCCTTTTCTCAGTGAAAGCCACATTAGTGCAGTACAAATCAATATTTGAGTAGCACTTATCAGAAGCTTTTCCAGGTGCAGACTCATCTTGTCCTGGATAGTGGAAAGGGGACTGTAATAGTATTCTGCTCTTTTTTTTTTCTTTTAATCCTTACCCAAGGATATTTTTTCCATTGCTTTTCAGAGGGAGGGAGGGAGGGAGGAAGGGAGGAAGGGAGAGAAAGAGAGAGAAACATTGATGTGAGAGAGACACATAGATTGGTTGTCTCCCATACTCACCCCAACCCGGGCCAGGGATGGAGCCTGCAACTGAGGTACGTGCCCTTGACTAGGAATCAAACCCGAGACCTTTCAGTCTACTGGCTGACACTCTAACCACTGAACCAAGCTGGTTAGGGCTATTCTGCTAATTTTTTAGTGACCTACTACAGCTGAGAGGTATTAAGTGTTTGGGGAAGATTATACAATTCAGAAAGTGGTCAACTGGGACCTGGCTGAGGTCTCCTCGCCCTGATGCCAGGGAGCCTCCTGTGGCCTCTTCCTGCTCCAGCCATCCACCTTGCCAGGGAAGCACTAGCTTTCCTGCAAGCAGGACCAGTGGGCAGCTCGCAGACGCCATGGGAATTCCTTCATGGTCACCACCCTCCCCCTGGCATTGAGGGCCACAAGAGTTGGGAAGGTTGGTGCTGGTTTAAGGTGGTAATGCCAAGAATTAAAAACAACCAGCCACATCCATCAATGTCCTCACTGAGGGCCTAGTGGGCCACCTCCAGGATTCACAATTTCCTCAGACAATGGGGGGGGGAAGTCTATTTTTTGAAAGGGAAGAAACTGCAACTGTGCTTCCATACTGTTTACAAGGATCAGCATTCACGTCACAGGGAGATGGTTCTTTGTTTAGGGAAATCCCTTGAGGGAACTTGTTTAAGAAAGGGGAGACTCCTTGGCCAGGGGGATCTTTAGACAAGAGGTAGCACACACCACCTGCCTGCAAACCTGTCTGCTCCCAACTCAGAGGAAGTGTATGTGTGCATGTGCCCTGTGTGAGTGTGCCCTTTGTTTGCCAAGTACCATTTTAAAATGGAGAAATTTCATATAAAAATCCCATTTCTCTTTTCTCCTTGGTTAAATGAACCTATCTGGTAATTCTGAGTCCACGCCTCACATGGCAACAATAGCTTAAAAAGTGATTTCCTCCTTCAGCCAGGGCATGGGCTCAACAGATGGGTGGGTAGCCACAGTCCCACTTCACAGTCAGGTAACAATTAAATTTATCCCAGCCATTGGCTGCCTGGCCTCTGTGTGCATTTGGGAGGTGGGGTGGGGTAGACTGAGATACATAAAGAGAAATCAATGTTCAATAGAATAAAAGCTCCAAGAGATTTTTGGGATCCTACAAGAAAGGAGAGGTAAGGGGGATTTGGATGAAGCAAAGGACTTAGGGAGGGCTGTGGGGCTAAGCATCAGAGGGCTGGCCAGAGATAAATTCCTGATGTCTGAGAGACCTAAAAATGTTGAATACTCATTTTGAGGTTGATTCCAGTCTTCACTACTATAATATTGCTCATTGATTCAGAAACCTTGGGTTAAATCTATTGTTCACAATAGCCTTGCATGATGGAACTTTCATAGTGAAGAAAAGGCTGTTTGTTCCAAGCCAGCAGACCCAAAGAAGACAGCAACGAGCAGTAGCACTTAGGGGCAGCAGCCCCAATACAGTTGACCTTGAGACAACCCCACTTTCCACTAGCAGAGAGTAACCTTCAGAAAAGAGGCTACACAGAACCCTTCATTCTGCCCTGGGAAACCTGCAACCAGGCCAGAAAAGTGTATTGAGGGATTATGCATCATTTCACGTTGTGTTTTAGTGACCCACACATTGATCACTGTAAACTTCTTGTAGACCAGCACAATGTTACTTTTGTATCCTCCAAAATCAGGCATACTCCCTGATACATAATAGGCGATAAATGGCTACAAATAAATAAATAAATTCTGCCATTATTCTGATGTGATGCAATAAATTAAGCAAGGCCAGTGGAAGGATATTTGCCACTCTTCTGGTGTAAGTAACTTTGCTGCAGGATGAAAATATGAATTAAACCTCTTTGGGGGAGAAATATGGTAATATATATTTTTTAAAGTTCATACCTATTAACTCAGTAAATCCAATTGTCAGAATCTGTCCTAGTTAAATAAGCCAAAAGACAAAAATCTTCATTTAAATATTTCATAAACTGGCCAAACTTTGGAAGTATTCTACATGTCTAGAAATAAAAGAATTATTAAATAATTAATGGTATAGCTGCTCAATGGAACACTATATAGCTATTGAAATGATAATTATCCACTCTGAAGCAAAATTTAAGATGTTAATGATATGATATTAAGTGTTTTTAAGTAGTACATATGATTTTCACATCAGTCACATTGGGCTTTTCCAGGTGGCAAGGAACAAAGTTAGATTCTTTTGCTGGCCAGGAGTTTATTCTAAGGACAAGTGGAAAGCTGGGGAGACAGAGCATAATGGCATCTGCAGCAAAATCAAGCAATGCAGAGAATAAACATTGTTTGGGCCTGAAGGTTATTCAGGCTGTCACCTCCATTGTGCTGTGGGCCCTAAGTACTAGGTGGCTGGGCTCCTTCTGTGAGCTCTGTTGTGCCATGTGGTGCACCTGTCTTTGTTTCTATAGCTCAGTTTGTTTTCTCTCAAGCTCGGCTTACTCATGACTTCTACGGTTTCATGGCTTCTGTCACCTAATGGCTTCTGCTTACTGGTTTCTATTTGCCCCAGTTTTCTGTGTGTCTCATTGTACTCCCTCCAAAAGGGGGATCTAGTGTTCCATTAGTCAGAGGTCTCAACCCAGGCCATCTCTACAGTTCCAAAGGTCAGCATATATGTAAATAGTGTCTCCAGCAGGTGCCCAAACCTAATCCAATCAGCTGTGGTCCAAAAAGTGTTCATCTAGCATTAATATGGTAGGTACTTTGAGTATACCAGCCAATTATCCAACACAGCTATAGTTTTGAACTATGTTTAAAATAATAAATTAAAAATATATAACATATATGAAGACATATAGGAAAGGTATAAAATTAAAGTCATCATAGTCGGGTTAGGGTGGAGAGATTACAGATGATTATTTTTCTCCATTTTGCAATTTTCATTTAATGATACTGTAATTGCTTTTTAGTTTTCAAGTATTTTCTAGAAAATAATCTCCCCCAAGCAATTTTAGTCATGCCACCAAGCTTCTGAGTTTTGTCTCTCCAAGAACTCGCCTTGGACCGGGTAGAACAAAGTCACAACCCTTAAAGCCGTGGTCGCCCTTGTACTTAAAGTGGAGCAACTTACTTACTGCCAGGTAAAGGTGAAGGCCATAATTATAGGTTGTAAAAGCATCTTGAAGGTAAAAGTGTCTGTTATTACTATGAAAACTCCTTTTAAGCTGCTATAATAGCATATGCCACATAAGCAAAACACAGAACCTTATAACTAACTTGTTGTGGAAAGACGTCCTTTGTCCACCCGCCAAGTATTTGAAAATACCACCCACTCAATTGGCAAACATCTCCGGGACCCAAGAGAAGCTACCACGGCAGTTTTGTGAAACCAGCCATTCATGGCTTCACTTTGATCTTCCTCTCTCTACACCCTTGTTTCAGTTCCTCTGCCACAGACATACAATTACTGAATATTATTATTGCTTGATAATAACTATAATTATTACTACTTGAGATGGGAGAAACCACATTTTCAGATGAATTGGTATCTGAGCTGAACAGTCTGTTTGCATTTCATAAAGCTTGTACCCCCTTCTCGTCGGTCCCCAGCATTAACTGGGGGCGCACAAGCTGATGGCAGGAAACTCAAAGGTGGAGGCTTAATTACCCACCAGCAAACAGGGACCAAGTCCAGCGATTCGGGAACCGAGTAGCAAAATCCTCCCGAGCTCCTAGAGAGGACCCGGAAGCGCAGCGCAGTCCCGGAAGGCGAGGTGCTGACACACTTCCGGCCTTTGTGACTCATTGTGTCTGTGTCGAGGCGTCCGGAGGGCCTAGGTCCTTGTGCGGCGCCCTTCGGCCGGTCTGAGCCCCAGAGTCAGCTCCCTTTTGTCTCCCAGCACCCCAAGGCCGCCCCCGAGGCTCACGGTGAGACTTGGGCCGGCCTCTGTGGAGGGCGGGCAGGGCCGCAGGGGGGTGTGTGAGGGTGGGCTCTGCAGCTGCGGCCCCGGGGTCCCCTCCAGGCGGCCCTGCCAGAATGTAAAGAGAGTCCCTGTCCCCTCCCCATTCCCCGCTGTAGGAAGTGCCGTCCCCCAGGAACCCGTCCCACCCCCGGGTCCAGGCGGGAAGGGGTGAGGGTCTAGTGACTGGGGGTACTCGGGGACTGGGGAGAAGCCGGCTGCGGGCCCCTTCCGTGCCTGTAGCCCACAGTGTCGACATCGTCGTTTGACGTTTCTGAGAACAGGGTCGCGAGAGAACCTACGACCCTTCCTGATTTTTCTGCTCTCCCTTCGTCGCCATTTGCTTTGATTCCAGTGAGATTTTTTTTTTCCCCCGGGGTCCTTCAGGACCTTAAGGTGAAAAATGTGGGAGGCCGAGAAATGGGCACGTTTTGAAGTGCAGCATGCATATTTCCAGATCACTGCTTATCCTCACTCCACCCCTCCCCTGAACGGTGATTAAAGAGTAGTTGAAGCTTAGTTAGAGTGGATAAAAAAGTGATACGTAGTAGAGATTGTATACATTACGCTCTCTTTCAGCTTTATGGAATATTTTGAAGGCTGTAGAAGCTGCCAGGAAGCTTAGGTGTATTTTTCGGTTCTGGGTAGCTACTCTGCTTGAGTTGATGTGAGTGAGAGTGAAGAAAATTTGTGGAAATTGCACCGTGTCATTAGACTGATTACCTGAGTAATCTTGGATAAGACAAGACATTCTGCCAACTCTCAGTTTTGTCATTAATTAAATTCACTCAAAAGGCTCTTCCAATTTTGAAATTTAATTTAGTTGATGTAATTGAAAAATTCAGCTACAATTTACCCTGACAGTGTCCCCCTCCCCTTGCCTCCCTGCAGTGCACAATAAGATACTTTCATTATAGAGAGTGAACGTTATATGGCCTGGGACCAAAGAAAGCGTTTATTGTACAGGCCAGTGCTAGGCGGATTTGGAGGTGGTCAATAAATACTTGTTGAATTGAATTGTGGAGAATTCATTGTAACCCGATCAACAAAGCACTATTACTATAAGTGCTGGCCAAATGAAATAGCTTTGATACGTAGGGAACAATAAGGACAATTTGCTCCAGAAGGTTTCTCCAAGTTGTATTGACTCTGAATTACTATGCAATATTCTTATTCATTATTTCAGGCAGTTTTCACCAAGCTAGCTACTTAATACCATAGTCTTTTGCTTATTCTCTACTTGATTTAAGCATTTAAGTTTTTTCTAACTTAATATTGCTTTTTTTTTTTTTAATATGTCTTTATTGATCTCAGAGAGAGGAAAGGAGAGGGAGAGAGAGACAGAAACATCAGTGATGAGAGAGTCATTGATTGGCTTCCTCCCACACTCCCCTGATGGGATCAAGCCCACAACCTGGGCATGTGCCCTGACCGGGAATCAAACCCTGATCACCTGGATTCTAGGTCGACGCTCAACCGCTGAGCCACTCCCGGCTGGGCTATATTGCATCTAAATACACAGTGTTAAATCTTACCATTTCATTCTGAGGAAGTATCAGTATTCTTTGTGTAGCTAGCTGTCTTTTAAGGTACCTTTTTAATATTTTAAAGCAGTTTATAGCTCTGTTAAAAAATAGGAGGAGGGCCCTGGCCAGTTTTCTCAGTGGTTAGAGCATCACCCCTCGAACTGAAGCGTCCTGGGTTCAGTTCCCAGCCAAGGGCTCTACTTTGGTTGCAGCCTCGATCTGGGGCACAGGTGGGAGGCAACCAATCGATGTGTCTCTGTCATGTGGATGTTTCTCTCCCTCATCCGTCCCCTCCAATCTCTCTAAAAAAATCAATGGAAAAAAATATCCTCAGGTGAGGATTAAAGGAAAAAAAATGAGGAGGAGGGCAATTTGTTTAAACTTTGAAGAGTACAATACACCCTGGAAAAAATAATGGCCTGTTTAGAAAATAGTCTGTGGAATAAAGTGAATTTGTAACACCAAGCCCTTTTTGTAAGAAAATAGTTTGTATTTATCCTTGGTGAGAACTAGTTGCTGGGGGTAATCTTATCTAAATCGGCTAGAATGTCAGAATGTTTTTCAGCATAGAAGGACCCCAGAGGTAGTATTCTCCTCCTAGTTCCCTCCTTCCTTCCCCCAATTTAACAGATAAGGATACTGAGTGCCAGAGAGGTTAAATAACTCAGGGATGTATAACTTATTTGTGAGAGCCTAGAATTCAGATATTCTAACCTGTGCTGCTTTCACTGTGGCAGGATTTCTCCCATTGCTTAATCTTTTAAGTAGGCTGAAATTGGAAAGTACAAGTTACATGTCTTAAGTTTATTGAAAAAAATTAAAATACTTTTCCAGTGTCTACTAAATGCCAGGCACTTTTTTTTTTTTTTTAATATATCTTTATTGATTTCAGAGAGAGGAAGGGAGAGGGAGAGAGAGAGAAACGCGCGTGTGCACATGCGCGCACACACACACCACCACCACCACCACCACCACCACCACCACCACCAAGCCCTAAACCCCGGCATGTGCCCTGACCTACAATTGAACCTTGATGATCTGGATCATAGGTCGATGCTCCACTGCTGAGCCACGTTGGCCGGCCAGACACTCTTAAGTTCTTTACATATGTTAACTCATTTAATCCTCACAACAACTCTATGAGGGAAATACTATTTTTTATCCCCATTCTACAAGTGAGGAAACATGCATAGAGAGATTAATTTGCTTAAAATCATCAGCTGGTAAGTGGTAGAGCAGCTTCATGAAACTCTTCCAAGTAGCCAATTTGAGGACAACATTGAATGCTGTATGAATGGGCATAAAAATAGTAACATCGTAAATTTAGTCAAGTATTTTTTAAAAACTAGTGCTTGCAAGGAACCCTACTAAGTGGTCTAATAGGTACAAAGAAGCATACCCTTAGCAACAGTCCAGTTGAGGAGGAAAGGCATGAAAAGTTACAGAAATAGAAAGAGGGTGAGAACTTCATAGCAAATGCTTGGCGCAGACCATTGGAGCCAGGAGTTTAGAGAGGAAAAGAGCTGTGTGCTCACATCATCTGGAATAACTAAAAACCCAGCCATTCCACTGTTGTTGACACTTCTCTTGCCCAGAGTAGGAGTAGAGAAATGGGGGATGAAGGAAAGGAATTGAAATTGGGAGAAGAGGGAATGTACCCATGCCCTCATGTCCCTTTACGTCTCTCTTCCTCTTCAGAGTCTCTTCCTATTAAGTCCCACTGACTCAAAGAGTATCTTACTCTTTAAAACTCTGGCCTAGGTGTGGGTACAAATCAAGTTTCCTTTCCTTTATTCTTAATATAGCTAAGACAGGATAGAATTTTCATTAAAAGATTGCTGATTGCTAGGCTAGTTACTGCACTAGTATTGCTCAGTTGCCCTGTTTGAAGGCCATACCCACTTTATTTTATTTTATTTTTTTAATATATCTTTATTGATTTCAGAGAGAGGAAGGGAGAGGGAGAGATAGAAACATCAATGATGAGAGAGTCATTGATAGGCTGCAGCCCACAACCCGGGCATGTGCCCTGACCAGGAATCAAACCCCGATCGCTTGGATACCAGGTCGATGCTCAACCGCTGAGCCACGCCCAGCCGGGCCATACCCACTTGATTTTAGATAATTCCCATTTACATCTGTGCCTCTTTAGTTGCACAGCTCTCTAGTGAAAACAGTGGATGTCAGATGAAGCCCATTCCTAAGTGGTCATCCTTCATAGGCCTTCGTCTTAGAATCTATATGCACAGAAGTCTTTCTGTATGGTTAGATTTTGAACTGAAGAGTCCCACAGACCTAATTTCAAATCTTGGCTCTCCCTTTCAAATTGCTGCTTGACCTTGGGTCTGCTATTTAACAGTAGTAAACCTTAATTTTGTCATTATAAAGTGAGATGATGATTGTACCTACCTCCTAAGATTGTTGTGTGAAATGCTTAGTATAATACCTAATCTAGAAAGCACTGAATAAGTATTGGCTCTTACAATTATGCCCACTAGAGGCTGCTTGAATTGAACAGCAATGAGGGGCAAGGGGCATTTAGCTTAGTTCTGATAAGTAGACATTGTGTATGATGTGAAAAGAAGATGGCAGTCAAAATACAAGGCATATTTTGGAAAGACTGAATACACTCATTTTGTTGGGCAGAGAAGATTCATGCAGGGGAGGAGGAGAAATTGTTGGGAAATGAAGTTTGAGGGGGAAAGGATCAGGTACTGGAGGTTGTTGACTACAAGGCTATAGAATTTTAGGAAGAATAATCTGAAGGGTAGGAGGTGCAGTGAACATGGGGAGAAAATGAAGTCAGTGAGTCAAAGAGAGGAAGCTGTACTTCATGGGACTATATAGAAAAATAAGTATGAGCAAAGAATTGTTTCTCTCCGGTGCTTAGAGACTGAATGCATGTAAGAAGAGAGGAGTCACCCAGCCGAGTGTGGCTCAGCGGTTGAGCGTCAACCTAGGATCGAGGCAGTTGGGGTTCGATTCCCAGTCAGGGCACATGTCCGGGTTGCGGGCTCAGTCCCCAGTTGGGGGCGTGCAGGAGGCAGCCGATCAGTGACTCTCTCATCATTGATGTTTCTATCTCTCCCTCTCCCTTCCTCTCTCTGAAATCAATAAAGATATATTTTTTAAAAAAAAAGAAGAGAGGAGTAAAGGAAGGTGAGATTCTGAGCCTGAGTGATTGAGATATTATTAGTAGAATATCTGATCACTAATTGCCACTAAAGGCAATAAGAAGATGGCAGGGGAAGCTGTAATAGTTTGAGTAGTTCTTATTTCTTCTATTCAGCTTAACAGAATTAAACTCTGCCAGGTGCTGTAGGAGATGAGTACAAAGAAGACAAGATTCCCTGTCCTTGAGGGGCTTAAAAGTTAGGAGGTGGAGATAGGAACTGCAACCCAAATAATAATAATACAAGGAGAATATAAGTGCCTTAAGATAGGACAAAGGAAGTACTTAAGATAGGAACAAAGAAAGGTGTTCAAAGGAGGAAGATATTTACAGTGGTACCTCAGTTTTCGAACTTCTCCATTGACGAACATTTCACTTTATGAATGCCATAAACCTGGACGTAAATGCTTCGGTTGTCGAACATGCCACGTGGCTTCCGCTGAGGGCAAGACCCTGAGGCCTAGCTGTGGGCTGTTGCTCCCTCGGTTTTCGAACGTTTCAGAACTCGGTCTTCTCGAACAGATTACATTAGAAAACCAAGGTACCACTGTAATTTGGAATGTCAGGAGACATACATCTTGAAAGGTGCATTAAAATTTGACCAATACAGTTGATTTGGTAGGAAATTGTTAGAGAAAAGGCGTGAAAATGGAAAATCACACCCTGTGCTTAGGGAACATTAATGGGCCAGATTGGCTGAAATATGGGGGATTACTACTAAGAAAAGTAGTAGGAGGTAGGAAAGTACAGTGTGTTTGAACGCTAACTTGATAGGTATCGAGGATTCTGGAGTGGAGGGAGGTGATGACAAGAAACATACTTTGGCAATACTGTGTTGGTCTTGGTATGTTGTTCAGGGAGAAATTGAAACTACAGAAACTGTATGGGGCTATGGCACTATACTAGGCAGGAGATACTGAGCTTGAATTGGGGTGGTGGAAAATAATTGTGGGAGACGTAACAAGAAGATAGTCTTTCTTTTGACTTTCCAGAATAAAAAGGAAGAAACCAAGGCTTGTAGGAATTATTTAGCCTCCAGTTGCGTTAAGCCAGTCAAAGGGATGATCTCTTGGACTACCTACTCGCTGCCTGTTCCTGTAGCAGTCTTTAGAGGTCTTGGCTGTTCTGATGCCCCAGCTCCAGGGAGGCCTCTTCCCAGAGGCTGCCTTGTTTTTGTTTCTTGTTTTTAATATCTATTGATTTTGGAGAGAGGAAGGGAGAGGGAGAGATAGAAACATCAATGATGAGAGAGTCATTGATCGGCTGCCTCCTGCACATCCCCCACTGGGGATCAAGCCTGCAACCCAGGCATGTGCCCTGACCAGGAATCCAACCCTGCTCTTCTGGATCATAGGTTGATGCTCAACTGCTTAGCCACGCTGGCCAGGCCAGAAGCTGCCTAGTTAATGCACCAGTTAAATTACTTCTCAGGGCTCCTCTAGCACTCCTTTTGAAACCTCCTTAGAACAGTTGGCACATTCTACTTTATACTGTAATTATTTGTGTAAAAATAGGACTTGTGCGTCTCATCTTTTTATTCTCCTCAGTCTAGCAGGATACCTTGCATATTGTGGATATATAGAAATGTTTAGGAAATTGAATCATTGTAGCTATAAGGACTTTATTGGGAAAACTGCTCTTAAGTTAAAAACAAAATATTTACCACAACAAGGAGGGCAGAGTACAGAACAGGTCTGAAGGAATCAAAGGGAAGGGCTAGAAGATGGTTTGCAATAGGACTTTTTACCAGTTTAATGTCATTGAAGAAATGACTTAATTCCCCCACTTCCTTTACATTTAAGTTGAAAGCCTTTTTGAATGTAATGTTCTTAATTGTTATTATAGACTGCTAGTTTAATAAGGATTTCTGTTTTTCATTAAGGACAAAGAAATGAGAGACTAATCCTGTGATCGTAGATTAAAATATTCTTTGTGGTCACAGATTCCTATCAATTAAAAACTAAAAATTATAGCCCTGCCAGGCATGGCTCAGCGGTTGAGCATCGACCTAAGATCCAGGAGGTCGTGGTTTGATTCCTGGTCAGGGCACATGCCCCAGTTGTGGGCTCGATCCCGAGTCAGGGGCGTGCAGGAGGCAACTGATCAATGACGACTCTCTCATCATTGATGTTTCTCTCTGTCTCCCTCCCTCTCCCTCTCCCTTCCTCTTTCTAAAATCAATATATTTTTTTTTAAGTATATACATGTACTATTATACCAATATTTTGTATAATAAAAAAATACATTAAATTGTGCTCTTTAAAAATAACTTTTGTGCTTTATATATACCTTTGCCACCAAAATTACTAATAATTTTTTAGTGAAAGCCATGTAATTAAAAATGCTTCGCTAGTTTAAAACTCTTGACTTAACTCATTGTGATACAGCAGTTGGATGCTCTCTCTCTAAAACTTGAATTTGATGCTTAATTGTGAGGGTTGTAGAGGTGAAAAAGATACTTCATAAAGACTTGTCAATTCAGATGGAAGAAACACATTGTAGACTGACTGTTTAGTAAATTCACCCACCAAACATGCTAAGTTTTTGTTGTTGAAATTCAGCTAGTACTTTTCCATTTTCCATGACCTTAAATCACCTTTTCTTACAAACTAATCAAAAGGTGTTTTATATTTTTAACAAACAGGCTTAAGACCCACTAAAATCTCTCATTTGGGAGATTTTTTAAACAAATTAGAAAATATTTCCAAGTTTTTAAAATGAGTAAATAATAAGGATAATTAATCATTTTTGGCAGTTAAAATTACATAACAATGTATGTTTTCCAGCATACATCTGTTCTCACAGTAGTTCTTTCCTTGCATCCCCTTTTTTGAAAAACAGCTGCTTTCTCACTGATTGGTTGACTTGTCTGATTTAGAGTGACATTGGTTTTTACCTCCTGATCTGGCTGAGTAAAATCTTGCTCTAGATAGAAACTTAAGCTGTGCTATTTTCTTGTTCATATGTGTTTGCATCATTAGTATTTCCCATAATTGTAGTTTCTCTGTAAGAATCTTTAAAGCTTCCCCTTTTTTTTTCTTTTAAAGCTTGTCCCTTTTTTTGAGATGTAATTAACATATAATATTATATTAGTTTCAGATGTACAACATAGACTCAACATTTGTATTTATTGTGAAATGATCACCGCAATAAGTCTAGTTCACATCTGTCACCATAGTTAAAATTTTTCTTATGGTGAGAATTTTTAAGACCAACTCTCAGCAACTTTCAAATATGCAATATGGTATTACTGTAGTCACCATGCTGTATATTACATCCCCGGGACTTAATTTATAACCAGAAGTTTGTACATTTCACCCCTTCATCCATTCCACCCACTCCCCAAGTCCCCATGCTTGTCTTTTTTAAGCGAGATGAAATAACCCATTATTCTACAAACTGGTGTCAGATAAAGCAGGAAACATGACAATACCTAAAAGTGAACACGTGAATGAGGCCAGCTTGGCAGCCCTCTGTGTGAGTGAAGAGGGAGCTCCCACTCTTCCCTTTAGACTGACCACAGTCCTCATGAAAATAATAGAAATAGTTAGATGGTAGATTAGCAATTCCATGGCTTCAAATTTGGTGTGACTGTTGACTCCACTACGTAGGTAGCCACCTACTTCTAAGCAAATTACTTAAGTGATCTAGGCCTCAGCTATGTCATCTGTAAAATGGTACTAGCAGTTATGCCTACCTGCTAGGATTGTTGTGGGATGAAATAAGATTGTATATGTACTGCTTGAAGTCTCTTGCCTGCACTGTTGACATTCAGCTCTCACAGGGTTAAGCACTGTAAAGGCATGATGTCATAACCTGCTGTCCTCCTGGAGGTAAAGTACTCAGACTCAGGCAGACACTCTGAAAGTGGAATTTGCCCATTGGAGGCAAACCTTAATATATAAAGTGAGCAGTGAGAGGGAAAAAAGGCTCTTTTTCCCCCTTTACTATTCAGAGGCATTCTTAGTGCCTTGATGTATAGCCTTGTATGAAGTGTTAGCAGCACAAGTCACTTTTCATAAATACTTTTTTTAATACTTCAGGAATCATACAGAAACATATCAGAGAACATCTCCTAAGACAGAAAGGAGAGGACAGGCTCGCTTTGGATCAAGTCAGTTCCCTGAGCCTGAATGATGACTGCTGAATCAAGGGAAGCCACTGGTCTGTCCCCCCAGGCTGCCCAGGAGAAGGATGGTATCGTAATAGTGAAGGTAGAAGAGGAAGATGAGGAAGACCACATGTGGGGTCAGGATTCCAGCCTGCAGGAGACTCCTCCTCCTGACCCAGAGATCTTCCGCCAACGTTTCAGGCACTTCTGTTATCAGAACACTTTTGGGCCTCGAGAGGCTCTGAGTCGACTGAAGGAACTTTGTCATCAGTGGCTACGACCAGAAATAAACACCAAGGAGCAGATCCTGGAGCTGCTGGTGCTGGAGCAGTTCCTTTCCATCCTGCCCAAGGAGCTTCAAGTCTGGCTGCAGGAATACCGTCCCGATAGTGGGGAGGAGGCTGTGACCCTTCTGGAAGATTTGGAGCTTGATTTATCAGGACAGCAGGTGAGAAGAGGTGAAACTTATATGTGAGCAGCATGTGGACTTTGAGACTGGAACAAAGAGAAAGTTACTAATTTAAAGCTAGCAGCAGTAGTCTTAATATTAGAGTAGCATTAGTGTTAACATATGATACTACTTATATAATATATAATAGCTATATATGTTGCATATGCATGTATAATGTTATATATGTAAAATAACGTATAAGCTACTGATATAAGCTAGTATTAGTAGTTTATAGTAGTTATTCTCTCTGCTTTGCTTGGATATTAAAAAGTATTCTGGCCTTGTCTCCCCTGCATCCTGGCATACTTGTGTTCTTTTTGTTCATTTAAAGTCCTCATTAAAAAGTGATTTACCCACAAGCCCAACTTGTTTGTCCTCAGGTCCCAGGTCAAGTTCATGGACCTGAGATGCTCGCAAGGGGAATGGTGCCTCTGGATCCTATACAGGAGTCCTCGAGCTTTGACCTTCATCATGAGGCCACCCAGTCCCATTTCAAGCATTCATCTCGGAAACCCCGCCTCTTACAATCACGGGGTAAGACACAAGGTTTCTTATCAGGAAAAGAAGCAAACTATTCAAGATAGGTGTGCCCTCTCTATGTTGCTAAGTGCTTGTAATAAAGAAGCATGCTTGTTTTTATTATACATTATTGTCATTACTAAATATTACGGGAAATACAATTTACAGACCAATCTCAGGAGTTAAATAATGTTACTAGGGAAGTAGATGAAATGTGCATAATGAACTTGGGTAGACATTACATTGTTTATTGAATTGTTAGCATTCTGATATCTAACAGATTTTTTTTTCAGGCAAATGCCGGGAAGAGATGATATACTTTCAGCCTGGATTTTGAAACACTATAGTACATCATAAATTACCTTATAAAAAATCCATTTTAAAATTCATTATTTAAATGTATAAAAATATTGTATAACATCACTCTTTTTCTAGGTTACTTTCAGAATTTTCAAACAATGGGAAAGGATGGAAACATTTTATTTTTGGTGGAGGAACATGAGGAAAAGCATCGTTTCAGGATCATATAGATAAAAACTTGTTTAATTATTAGAGTTCAGGAAGCATTCTCTTCTTTGCATTCTGGAGGGTAGTGAGCATTCATCTGCTGGAGAAATCCATGTAAACCAATACACTGTGATGTTTAACCCACCACTGTCTACCCATTTATGAACTTCTAGGGTATATAAGGTCTCCACACTCTACAGGGGGTGAAAATCAGGATAATGAAGACGCTATTCATGGTTTTAAGTGTCATATCAGATCTTTAGGTTACCAGAGTAGCAGTTTTAGAGACCCTGGTATATACAGTTGTTACTTAGTAAATAGTTCTTTAAGGAATTGAGGCATATGCATTTATTCTCAATTTCCTCTGTGCTGTTCATCTTCCACAGTTGTTTCCTAACTCCCAGAAGGTTAAAGTGCTAGGTACTTAATCTTTTTGTACATTTGGCTTTAGATTATTTTATTATTGTACCATCTGAAATAGTTATAAGTTTAGTAATTCAGTTTCAGATTCATTTCTCCAATGTTACTTGGCAAGGGAGGATTTTAATTTTGCAGGTTAAAATTTTTCTTATTGTTCTTATCTGTTGCAGTTAGTATGATTATATGACATAGTAAAGATACCTTTTACTAGATGAGTGTCAACCCATACCTTTATATACTTACAAATGTCTCATTAACTTTAGAACCATGTATGCATTTTATCAAAAAAACTGGATAAGTGAGGGGGGAAAGTAGAGGGACAAAAATGGCAAAACTTACCCAGAAGTAGGAAGACCCCCTTCCTACCTCGTGTTTTTTTACAACTAAATGGGATTCTGATGTCCTATTACTTGTTCCTTGGACTAGAGAAAATTAAATTTTGAGCCAGGCTTGAATCATGGGCTGAATGTTACCCACTTCTGTAGCTGAGAGTAGGAATCTGGGTTCTAGATCTGGCTCTGCCATTCTTAACTGTGTGACTTTAGACAAGTTGTTTATCCTCTCAGGGCCTCAATTTCTCCTTCTTTAAAACATATGGGTTGGACCAGGTAATTTTAAGGATCCTTTTACATGATTCCTTGTCCTGCTTAAGAATAGAAGCCTTAGGAAAACAGAGGTCATGCTTTTTCTTGTTTAATTCTGTCTAGTTATCTATTATGTAGTTGAACATTGAACATGCTGGTGCAGGAAAAAGAGAGCTCCTTGTTTGAGGGGAGGCCCAGAGCAGAGCTGGTTTTACTCACAGCTCCTTTCTCCTCCCTCAGCTCTCCCTGCCACCCACGTTCCTGCCCCTCATCATGAGGGGAGTCCCAGAGACCAGGCGATGGCATCTGCACTATTCACGGCAGATTCTCAGGTGAGCTGTGGGCCCCTTTGCCCTCCTGAGCCCCTCAAATCTGCCTCTCTTCCTGGAGGTCTTTTAACAGCCTCTGCCCAGGACACTCAACTCTTGATGTCCTTGCCCACAGAGTAGACCCACCCACCTACCCCTCAATCCACCAGAGCCTGGTATGGTCACCTTTTCTTTCCCAGCACCCTGTAAGTTTATAGCCATCTCTATCCCTTGCTCCAGGTTTGGGCAGTGGGTTTGTCCCTGAGCTTTTGGAGAACTGAGTGTGGGGATCTCATATTATTTCAGGCAATGGTGAAGATCGAGGACATGGCTGTGTCCCTCATCCTGGAGGAATGGGGATGTCAGAACCTGGCTCGGAGGAATCTCAATAGGGACAACAGGCAGGAGAATTATGGGAACGTGTTTTCCCAGGGTAAGACTGATGCAGGATTATTATCTTGATAAGATTGTTTTACCTCTTTTTTTTAGTTGTGGGATCTCTAACATGTTCAATTGAGTGTTGAGAAGGATTTAGAGACTACTGAGCCCCTTCGTTCAGACCAGATAGAGAATGAGAACATTTGTATTCATTTAACTCCAAAAGCCTGGTACTGTGACTCCCTGATTACAAGGAGATGTTTTATTTATTTATTTTTATCTCTAGGTCATTTTTGCTGTTTGAAATCAGATATACTCTTGTATTCTGAGTCCTCCCCTCTTCTCTACTCCCGGTGGGTTATAATTTAGGTGCCTGTATTGGGGGAGTATCCATACTTCCTAGTGTAGACGGTTAAGTGAGAACTGATCATTGGTTCTAATCCTAACCTGGGACCACATTCCTAAACCTTCCAAGCAAGCATTCTTCTGTGGACTTTCTGTCATCTTCATCCTGAGGACCATGGTCTGTGACAGCTTTGCATAATTCTATGAACTTGAGCCGGTACCTCCCTTGTGATCAGGATTCCCAGTTTCCAAACCTAATAGTAATCTATGAAGAGCTCTGGTTCCTGGGTGTATAGTAAGGACAAAGAAGTTCTAAGAGGCATTGACCATACAAGATAAAGAGACAAAGTTGACAGACATTCCCATTTGTCTCTGCTAGATCTCAACCCCTGAGAGATAGTACTATAGAGGAGCTCTCAAGTCCTGGCATAGGGAAGTCCACAATGAGGCTTCTACCTGGGGAGGACAGGGGGAGGGCAGAGGGAGGGCAATTGAAGGGAAACTTCATAAAGAAAGGATGCTACTAAAGAAACCTCAGATTTTGCTTTGAACCATAGGGAAAACCGGGATTTATAGTTTCTTGGATTAGGTGAAAATTAAGGCAAAGAACTGATCCTTGTTTATAAGCTGGGTATTACCTATTCTGAGATAACTTTAAAAAAAATTGGGTTCAATCTGGGAACTATCCAGATAGTCAAGGACCTTGGCTTGAAATTCAAAAGAAGTAGACCAGTTTCCTCTTTCTTACAATTGGTTTACTGTTTATGGCTATTTTATCACTATAGTCAGGGGTTAAATATTATTCAGCTCCCTCAGGAGTTGCATTCAAGGGCCTGTCTGGGATAGCACAGACCTTCTTGGACAAGTTTCTTAAGGCCAAAGAAAGAATAGAGTTGGAATATATGTAAACATATAAAGTAATATATGTTTACTAAACAATTTTTAATCTCTACTTAAAGTGAATTTAGCAGTCAACAATTAAAATAATCCCATGTTTTAATGTGCTGATTGCTAAAGTGAGAGGATTAGTTCTGCATTTGTAAAATTTTGTTGTCTTTTAGTGTCTCCTTCATGGGCTATCTCTGGAATTGTTTTCATTTTCTTTTCTATTCTCAGTTGTCTTTCGGTGAAGGTTTTAATTATGTTTACTAATGCCCCAGCCAATTTTTTCACCTTCATCTCTGTCAGCTCTATGCTATACTGCCCAGTGGAGAGAAACTGTTTCCTGTGTCTGAAGGTCCATGTAACTTGCCAAGTTCAGAGCTTCTTGTTTTGCCCATTAACCATCTCCTTGTTGATAAAAATTTCACAGAATGGAGGTGTTTTCACTTTCCTTTTTTAACACTATTCCTTTATTTCTGCTGATACCACTTATCATTTTCTAGGAAAAACCTGTTTATTCTTTTTTTAAGCTCATAAATTCTTATATTAGAAACAGAACATGATTTTTTAAAAATGTATATTTGTTTCTTCAAATTAATTATCAGGTGACCAAATAATGGAACTATGAATTGTTAACCTCTTATTCATTGTTTATCCCTTCCCTCCTTAACTGGTTCTGTTCCTCTGCTCATTCCCCAGTAGATCTGTTCATTCCTGTCCTCTCTGCACACTCCCTCTATTGTCTTTTCCACTCTTCCTGCACCCTGGTTTCCCAACTCTGTTCCCTGTTTTTTCTTTTTTTCTTTCTTTCTATTTTTCTTCTATTTTATCTTCAGTAAATACTGTGAAGTCATTTTGCAGGCGTGTAGGAGCTTCCTGGAAAACAATGTCACTTGATTAACCTATAGATTCAAAAGAAAAAGGTGCTATTTGTATTTTCTATTTATCGTGTCAGGTTGTGAAAGCAGGAATGAGAATGAGGAGTCTACCTCCAAGGCTGAAATCACAGAAGACTCAGCATCATATGGGGAGACAAGAGGAAGAATCCAGAAAGATTTTGGAGAAAAACGCGAACAGCAGGGCAGAATAGCAGAAAGGCAGCAGAGGAATCCTGAGGAGAAAACTGGAAAAGAAAAGAAAGATTCAGGGCCAGCTTCAATCAAGGAAAAAAAAACCACCACAGGAGAGAGAGGTCCCAGGGAGAAGGGAAAAGGATTGGGAAGAAGCTTCAGTCTGAGTTCAAACTTTAATACCCCTGAAGAAGTTCCGACAGGAACAAAGTCTCATAGATGTGATGAATGTGGTAAATGCTTCACAAGGAGTTCAAGCCTTATTCGCCATAAAATCATCCACACTGGGGAAAAGCCCTATGAATGCAGTGAGTGTGGGAAGGCCTTCAGTCTGAACTCAAACCTTGTCCTGCATCAGAGAATCCACACGGGAGAGAAACCTCATGAATGTAATGAGTGTGGCAAAGCCTTCAGTCATAGTTCAAATCTCATTCTGCATCAGCGAATCCACTCTGGAGAGAAACCTTATGAATGTAATGAGTGTGGGAAGGCCTTCAGCCAGAGCTCAGACCTTACAAAACATCAAAGAATCCACACAGGGGAGAAACCCTATGAATGTAGCGAATGTGGAAAAGCTTTTAACCGAAACTCATACCTTATTTTGCATCGGCGAATTCACACCCGTGAAAAGCCCTATAAATGTACTAAGTGCGGCAAAGCCTTCACCCGGAGCTCGACCCTCACTCTGCATCACAGAATCCATACCAGAGAGCGAGCCTCTGAGTACAGCTCAGCCTCCCTTGATGCATTTGGAGCATTCCTGAAAAGCTGTGTGTAAAGTGAGAATTTGTCACAAGCCATTTCCCCCCTTTTGTTTCTAAATTTATTTCGGAGATGTGTGCTCATGGAAGGGAATAAACATCCTCAACAGATTTTTTTTAAATCACACTTTTAAGGATCCTTATAGTTAGATTAGCAGTGTTCTGCCTTTGTATAGTCTATGGGCATATAATTCTTCAATGCAGCCCCTGTAGGGAAAAAGTAATCATATGGATAAGCCACATGATATTTCTGTATGAGATAAAAGCACACACAGTAAAATGTCAATTTTGTAGTAATAAGGATACCTTTAAGACGCTATTGGACTCTCAGCAACCGCAATATAGAATTGAAAGATTAAAATTGGCTCTGTAAAAATGATACTGAGGTTTAAAGTGCTTGCTGCAAACAAGCCCTGGTTGGCCAACATCTTGCTGTACCATATTTCTCAAAAAAGAGGGACAGTTAAAACAAAAACTACATTGGGACATGCTGCTTGAACTAGTTATGTATATGATCACTGGTAGCCTACCAAAGCTATAGAAATCTAGGACTGTGCTGATCAGTATCAAACCAAAGATTTCTATCTCTTCCTGAAAGAGAGGGTATGTGCACCAGTCTACAGTTCCAAAGGACTGCCACAAACGTAGATGGTTTTATCTTCTGCGCTGAGATAAGTTCTACTGAAATGGCAACAATGATTCAGAACACCTCTCCCTTCTGGAAGAAATCCCTAAAGCACTAATCACACTCTGAAATGCATTTTTCCGCAAGTTAGCACTTGATTATATACTGTCTTGTAATCCTTCATTGTTTCATGTATGAAAGTTTTCATCACCCCCCAGAAGAGATGCTTTGATTGACAAGGGATATGTTTATATCCCTGACAGCACTAGGCACAGTGCTGAACACATAAGAGGCACTCATTATAGCTGACTTCTAAAAGGACTTTTGCACTTATAAAGCCCTGTGAATCATGAGTACCTGAAATAGGTAGCCTGGCCCAGCTTTTGAAGAGGACATTCGGAGCCTGAGGCATGCTAAAGCTCTAGGGTCTTATGCTATTTTTGTCGTAAACATAAAAGAAAGGCACCATTTAGCTGCCTGCATAGACTTTCTAAACATGGATTAGTGAGTAAATACCATGGAATGTCAGAAATGACTACATTATCGTCATCATAAGAAAAATAAAAAGCTTACTGAGGCCATTGTTTGACATCTTTCTATGGCAGAGATCTTAGAATTTTGTCAGTTGCTGAACAATACGATGATATGGGCACTTTCTAAGACATTTGTAACTTTAAGTAATATAGTTCAGATTATGTAATTTTTGAAAATTTTAGGATTTTCAGAAAAAAGAAGATGTAGGGAGCATTTTTCCCCCACATGTTCCAGAAACTTCACAAAAGCTTTTGACATCGTTAGCTGGCCATTGCTAAATGTGTTAGTTGCTCTAAGAAGTTCACCAACTTGCTAAGTAAGATGTGGCTGATTGTATCAGAGTCATACTACACAGTGTCCTTTCTCATCTCTAAAGACTAAGGCGAGGTTATAAAACTTGGATCTTTTCCATCATCTGTGCAGGAGGATGCAATTGGCTGCCTGGAAGCTAATGACAGACTTCTCAGATACACATAAAAGAGACTCAAGTATTGGGGGCTACATAGGTAGTCATCAGGGACTCGGGTAGAGATGACTCTGATCATGAGAGCATGCAAAAGATTGTGGACAGCCCTGTAGGAACTTAGACACATAGAATAAGAACACACCTGAAGACTATCCCCATAAGAGGCGACCCTCACAGAGAGATTGAGATTTTCCATCACAAAACAGAACTAAAACTCATCATTTTGTTTGCTAACCAACAACTGAAGCCCATAAGACAGCATGGCTTTGTGGGGAACCAATGAGGTGAGGGCAATTGTGGCCTCAGCTCCAGACCAAACTAAAATCTGCACAGCAGTAATTCTTTGGCCTCTCTATAACTTGGACCAACCAGAGTTTCCCTATAGTTTCTAAGCAGTTTCATCAGTGTTGCCTGGGAAAACTTCAAGGAAGTCAGCTGGTGACCAGAATATTTCTATCCATTCAATTTAAGAAAAATAGAAAAGATACTACAGAAGCGCATACCTAAGGAACGTTTTATAGTAAAGTGAAAGTAGAAGAAACGCTTTTAGGATTTTCTTCACAATGAGCCACAGTGATTGATGGCTGTGTAGGAAACCGTTGGTGCTTTCAGCAAAAACTTGCTGCTGGGAAGCAACTGAAAGCAGTGAACTGCTTAACTCCAGGCACCGATCAAAGCACTGACTGCTCTTAAGAGGGAAAGAACTTTGTTGGTTCTACATTGGCTATTTTTTTTTAGCCAGAACTACATGCTGATGTAATTCAACCTCTTTTTTTTTTTTTTTTTTTAATGAAAGTTAAAATAACCTGTGCCCCCACATTTAATTCCCATTTGGGGGGGACATTGTACTGTGTGGGATAGCTGCTGTGGCTGCTTCAGATCTTCAGCAGATGCACTCCTTGAAGCAGCTACTTGAAGATACGTTTCCTGAAGAAAACAGGCTACAGCTGTTGATTAAAACTGTTTTCATTGCATTTATCAGCTGCTCAATGCAAAGTGTAATTGGGCCATGGTCAGAAAGGCTTACAACATGTGATGAGTGCTCAGGATAGTCATTCAGAAGTTCTTGACTGGCTGAAGCCTGTTAATAGTTTACTCTATAGTTAACCAGTAGCATATTAGTCAGCCTAATGGAAGTTTTTGAAGGGCTTTTTAAAACAATTACCTTAACCTTGCCAGGAAGAGAAGTAAAGTTCTTCAAGTTGTGGAGTATTTGTTTCTACTCTGGCCTGGCAGGCAAGGCAAAAGCCTGAGAATAGAGATGTATGAGGCATCTTGTTGAATGCACTTAGTATTTTATTAAAGGCATAAAAGTGAAACTGCTAAATATGTACAGAGAGGTTAATATGTTTGTTATGTGAGACAATTCACATCTTACGTACATCAGAGAGTTCATTCCAGAAGGGAACCTCTTGAATGTGATGATATGGCAAAGCCTGTAATCACATCTCAGCCTTTAGCATCAGAAAGCTTACACTGTAAATAAACTTTATTAATATTATATATGAGGTAACCTTTCATGTATAGAACTCATTGCTTTGGACAGAAAATTCCATCAGTATGTTCCAGTTGTAATGAAATTCAGAAACACTGCAGAGGACACTCAATCTTAACTCCAGAGGATCCACAGAAGAAAAAAATGTGGGGAAATAGCAAAATGTACAACTTCTTATAAAAATCGTCAGTGTTGGGTACTTCTATGTATTTTGTATGACCTTAATGTCAGTGTGTTTTGTACTTCCAGTCCCTGTTGCTATTCTGTATATTCTAAGCAAATAATGTATTTTAATCTATTTGACAGAACACATCACTTCAAAAGAGCAGTTTTGGAGTGAGTAGTAAAGTTGATGTGATTATAGACAAAAATCAGCTCTCAACTGAGGAGGGGGGAATCTGAGAAAACACCTTCATAGTTTGGTGCTTATATCAAATCAGAAGAGGTTAGTAGATGCATTGGGACAGGTTAGCCTGGCCGGTGTGACTCGGTTGGTTGAGCATCATCCCATGCACCAAGAAGTCACTGGTCCGATTTCCTGGTCATGGCATATGCCAAGGTTTCGGGCTCAGTCGCCGGTAGAGGGTATGCAGGAGGCAGCAGATCAATGTATCTATCTCATCAAGGTTTCTATCTCCCTCTCTGAAATCAAAAAACATAAAAATAAATTTATTTTTTTTTGAAATGGTTAATGGGGCAATAAAATGAAATAATTCCTATAAACATCAGCTTCCTGAGAGTTTTCAAAGCCAGGAAGTTGACCTCTTAACTGCCAGTCACCATTTTAAGCAAAGAGAATGGGTTCTCTGAGCTTGGGGGAGTAAGAGTCCATGAATTGAGAGTAGGGAGAGTGAGTGCTGGAAAGGTCAGTGGGACCACTTAAGTTCACTGGATTCTGTAAACCATAGTCCTGCTTCCCCCACTAAAAATGTTTATGCTTAGAAAATTTGGGGTAGGAAAATACCAAGACGGGCTCTTTCCTGGAAAATAGCCACAGATTCGTCCAGTTCCTGGCATTGTGAAAATTTTTCTGAGAAGTGTTTTGCAGTGTTCCTGTTGGCTGTGCTATGTACCTTCCCTGCGCCCACTTACTTCCACTGGTTTATGATGTTTCGAGAGAGGGCATGTGGAGATTTATAGCTGTGAAAGAGTTTTTTTCCTAATTTTTATCCTAGAGTTGATCACCTTTTATTCCAGAGCCTGGTCTTGCTGATATACTCATCTAAAGCTAACTAGCTAACCAGGTTCATCCTACCATCCTCATGGAAGACTCGGTGTGTGAATTGGAGTAACTATTAAAATGTAGCCAAACAGTGACAACAATACTTAGTGGAGGAGCCATATTTTTGTGTATCCCACTCTGAGCAACTTCTCAAAGATATGAGGGGGCAGAGATTCCCCATCTAGGAAACAAAGTGGAGGTCTGCAGATTGCAAAGTGAAATGTAGGATCAGAGTGGTATAAGTAGATTTTCATAAGAGTAGGTTTTTTTCCAACTACTGGAGAATTTAATAAACATTATTTGAAAAATTTTCTTAACAGATTTAGGGTTTCATTTTTAGGATGGACACACTACTGTACATTTAAAAGCATTTATTTTGCTATTCAAGTTAATTTTTTATTATATCTGAAAATGAAATTATTTGTTTTACTTTTCAAAGCTTTGTAAAACAAACTTGAAGTTATAGGGAGGTAAGCCATCTCCAGTTCTGCAGGCCAAACGTTTGGGAAGTACTTTGGACTGTCTTAACATGAGAACTTTGTTTTATATTGTCTGGTTCTATTTAATGGTGGACACCACAAATCTCATGTTTTTCTCCTACCCTAAAACAGTGGAAGGTAAAGAGTGAGCATTAAGTTGACTTCTAAACAGTGGTCTCCTGTTACTTTTACAAATTTTTTAAATCTCTGAAGATTCTCCCTTTCACTTACTAAATTATGACTCACTTCAAATTACACAGTAATCAGCAAAGTTAGTTGGTCTTAAAATTGTATTTTCTCCCTTTAGCAAGCACTCATTAAGCAGTGAGGATGAGTGTTTTAAGATATAAAGAATGAGATTTGTGAGTGATTGAAAGGTGGTTTTGAAACTTGGATTTCATTTGGTTTCAGATTTGGGTGTTAAGTTCCTTTGATCCAGGGAAGGGACTAGGCAGCTGCTATCACTTATCTCCTGACAAGGTCAGGTGTGTTGGGAAGGAGAGAAGGATTGTAACAGCCCTGCACTCCTGGCTGAGGAAAAATAATGGGGCAGCCTGGTGGAGGGAGGGAAGAACCGTGGGGATATGTTGAGGTCAGTGCTTGCCTTCCCTCACCTCAGCTAGTTAACAGTTTTAAGATTTTAGTCTGCCCTGACAAGGACAAAGCATGGTAGATTTAGAGATGCTTCTGCAAATAGCAGGGGTTCTTACAGGAGAACAAATATATGAGGGGATGGGGTGGGAGGAAGTGGATTATGAGTATGCAAAAAAATCTTGTTCTAAAAATATATGAGTTTAGGGGTAAGGGGTGGGATATGCAAGCAAAATCAATTATTTTAAAATGAACATGTATTTTTATTAACTTTTAGTTAAATATAGATTATTACAACCAGCTCAACATGATAAGCGTAAATCTATAGAGAGAGCTAACTCAGGCATTGTCTTGTTTATCTATAGACTGGATAGAACAAACCTTTCCTGTTTTGTCAATTCTTGGTTTCTTAGCTTAGAATAAAGTGGACAGAAAGAAGACACTTGTGTTTGTATACCTGCAGAATTAAGTTATTGCTGTTAAAACCTGGCCTTTTCACAAGTCTTTGAAGAGTCCATATGCTTGGTAGATGTTCAATAAATTATTTTTAAATTGAATTTGTTCTTTTAAAATCCTCATTAACATCTCTAGAAAGGTTTCTTTCAATAAATAATGGAATCTTAGAAGAAAAGTGGTTGGTTTATTTTTTAAGTTAGGGAACTCCTCCATTGAAAATAATTTTAAACCTTAATCTACTGAAGTTTCAATCATGGGAAATGGCAGAAGAGTAAAATGTACACACATTTATAGTCAGTGGTCCATTTTAGGAGGTATCTGACAAAAATTAAGAGTGGTGAGGTTGGGGAGGAAACGGGATTTGTAACAAATATTCTCTTCATGTTGTTTCTCTCCTGGGTCATGGTAAGAATAAATTATCATCTCTAGGTGACAATGTTTGTGGTGTTTGTTTTTTGTCATCCTTGGTTGCATAAATGCACGTTTGGGGTAAAGAAAATATAATTTCAAAGTTAAAAACAAGCTGACCCGCAAACAACCCAAATGGACATGTTTTAAGTAATTTCACAAGAGCTCCCTATAAAACACCACCTTAGAGCTCTAGCTAGGTAGCTTCTTGGAAAGGGTAACAGAATGAAAAGCCATAGAATAAAGGAGCTTTTTAATGATCCCCCCAAACAATTTTCTCATTAGATGGAACCATAAAAATAACCTTTGTGCTCACTTCGGCAGCACACATACTATAATTGGAACGATACAGAGAAGATACCATGGCTGCGGTGCAAGGATGACACGCAAATTCGTGAAGCGTCCCATGTTTAATAACCTTTGAGCAGTTTATGACTTGGAAAACTGAACATCCTAATGGTGGGTACTGCATGTAATCTAAGTTTAGACCTTTAAACTGACCTCTAACCTAATAACCTTGTTTTGTTATTGCATAATATATTGAAACAAACTCAATGTTTGTTTGTTTTTAAGTAAGAAAAAGTGGCACGTGTGAAACAACTGTTTTTACACAGGCATCTTAGCCTGCATCCTCCAAAGAGCAGAACCTGAGGTGAGGGCTGTGTGCAGATTTATTTTAGCAAGTCCAGAGAACAGAAGCGAGGGACAGGGTGGAAAGCGACAGGAAGAAATACAGTATATTATTGAATGTGGTCACTACTGTGGACAAGGGCCCCATGAGCGATTCTGGTGCCAAGTGTGGCCTGGGTGCGGAGAGGACCGAGCCTTACAGCGCCCCCGGTGCAGACAGCCCCCGAAGTGAAGAGTCGGGGTTCACCCCCACCGAGAGCTGCTCAGCCTTTCACTCTGTCCAGTCCAGTTCAACCCTGGCCTGGCTTCCCCTCCTTCCTCCATCCTTGTGCCTCAGTGGCTGTGGAAGAAAACACAGACACGGCCGCCTTCATTCTTACTCTTGTCCCTGCCAGACAATCATTCTCTGCCTTAGTCTTGGATTCAGTCTGGGTTTCTCCTCCCCAAACTCCCATTCCTACCACAGCCTCACCTGGCCCTTTCTCAGCAGATATCCTTCAGGATTCTGTCCCAAGGGCCTCAGCCATCAGATGTGCTTCACTTTCTGGTCTTTCCTGCCGCCCGCAGCCCCTTGCCTTGCCACCTGCCAAGGGATGTAGCCTCTCTCTGGTGCCTCCAGGCTCCTCCTCACCCCTCAACATCTGTTCTACATTTGAATGAGCACAAGTCTGTAGCTTTAAGGAGCAAAACCAAATTTTAAGTATCTTTTGTTTGACCACATCCCTTCCTTTTAGCTCCCAAATTCCTCTACCAATTGGACCATAACCACTGTTTTCATCTCTTCACTGTTGATATTCTCCCTCTTCAAGCCTCTGTACCTGAGATGTTTTCTTAACCACTTAAATCGTCACTGGTATTCTTGACAGAGTATTTTTTCTCGCCGCCATTCTTCCTTACATTTCTGTATTTGACCGTTTCCTTAAAAACCACGTCAGTTTGCATCCTCTGTCCTTCAGCTTCTCTCTTCCTCCACTCACAAATAATAACCATGAATTTTCTCTAATCCACATATCAATTTTGTGAAGACAGTTCCATTTTACAGATGTGGAAAGTAAGGACTGGAAAGTGAAGTGGCTTATCCATTAAGTGGCAGAGCTGGATTTTAAAATGAGATGTGTCTGACTCCAGCAACCCGCCACTTCCTTGTTCCTTGCCCTTTATGAACTCGGTAATGCGCCCTCCTTCATACATCACCTGTGACTGCAGGCACAGGCATCGGAGCCAGTTTACCTAGAATCAAATTTCTTATCTACCACTTACTGCTGTCTTAGTTTCCTCATCTGCAAAATGGATATAGAATTATTATAAGCATTAAATAAGCCATTACATGTAAAGCACCTACAGTAGTGTCTACCATAAGTGTTCCAAAACATTAGCTATTATTATTTCCTCCATGGGCCTCTAGCTCTTCCAAATATTCACTCACCCCACCCTTCACCCCCTGCTAAAGTCTCCCTTTTTAAGGTGAAACATGCTGGCCAAGTACTCCATCTCATTAGTCCCTAAAACATGTAACCTTGAAGTCAGGTCTTGTGAAAATTAAGGACACAGGCTCTGGGCCCATTTTAGTCTTAGATGGTCTCTG